CAATATATTCGATGGATGGCTTAATTTTTTCTAGTAATAACTCTTAGAGCTCTTTTCTGTAAAATAAAAAGATGATATGTGATAGTTTTACAAGCTTTACCCCAGACTTCAAACAGTAAATTAAATGTGGAACAATTATAGTGTTATACAACATAAACAGTGATTTATCATTGAACAGTTCTCTTACTTTGTACAGGACTCCAATAGATTTGGCTATTTTTGTTTTTAAACCATTTATATGATTTTTCCATGTCAGTTTTTCATCAATAATGACACCTAGAAACTTCACTGACTCTACAAATCTCAACATCATCAATTTTAATTTCTATTTATATTAATTTTTCCATGTAGTTGCAGCAGCTCCAGTTGACCACTAGATATCAGTCTTCGTCAGCATAAGTCTATAAACCCGTTGCTTCGACCATTTACGTCAAGTATTGAGCTCCAGCGTTTAAACTTTATTTTTTTAAAAAATATATGAGCTCCGATTGTAAAGTAAAATAAATCACTACATACAAAATTTTAACATGAATTACAAATATTTACTGTTTTTGCTGGGAAAGGGAGTTCTAAACACTGCCGAAAGAGGGAGCCAAGATGGCGACCGAAGCAGACGCACACTTTAGTAGCTGAGCAGCTCTTCGGATTTCTATCCCTTATTTCCAAGATTCAACTTAATACGATGCACTAAAAAACCTACAAATATTGTGTAAACACTCTCAGAACCTACCGAATACTGGTCTTTTYTTTAATATTGACTTAACAGCCTTTTCTGCCTATTGGATCACGCAGCTAATATTGCTAAGCTAACGGCTACATCGTGAACAGTGTGTGGAACCTSTGTCTCTGCCAACATGAAGCCAAATGACCAAGGAAAGAAACGCAAAGAGAAAGAACCTTTGGTCAACATAAAAGTTATGTCTTTTGGAGCACCAGATATTCCTAAAACAACAGCAACAAACCTATCAGAAAATACCGCATSTACTGTTGCTACATCAGCTAACGTGATGGATCGTGATTACGCAGCATCTGAAGCTTGCGCCGCTGATAATCAAGATGATGATCTTAAATCCCTGCCGTTATCTACTCCTGATACACCGGTCAAGCCAAAAGAAAAAAAGAAAAAGGCTGATATATGTTTGGCAGTGTTGTGTCTTTACTCCAACAAAGTATAATTTAATAAAGAGTTTCATCTCGTAGGTGCAGCACGAACTTTATTGAACTTCACTTCAGTCTACAATACAACATATTAATGCGCAGGCGAATAACATAGAAGGCAACTCACCAAAAAGGGGAGTGGCTCCGCTAAAGCAAATAGATCCACTACATATACTACACTCCTCCCCTTTTAGAGTAATGCGCTACACTATAAGTAACATGAAACATTTCCAATATATTGAACACAATGCGCTAACCAGGTAACACACATTGAATCCTCAGGTTTTTTTTTTTTTTTTTTTTACAGAAGTCCCACAAGTGAACTCATAAATCCAATCTTTTAGGGGGTGCCCTGAGTCGTTCAGGGTTACGTCTAGGAACCTGTGGAGTGCTCTCGGTAGGGGGCACGTCCTCAGCAACTGGGGGTGTCACTGTACTGGGTTCAGAGTTGGTTTCAGGACCAGGTGGACGTGCTGGTTGCTCTGGTGTCTTTGGTTGAGCATTCAACAGCTGATCCACGTGACGTCTCCAGGTATGCTCTCCAGTGTCCACCTCGTACATCAGAGGGCCGCTCCGAGTGATTATCTTTCCAGGCGTCCATTTTTCCCCTCGGTAATCACGTGCCAGGACCTGCTGGCCCACATCGAAACTCCTTAGCGGTTCACGTGCAAAGTTGCTGAACTGTTTGTTCTGCACTTCTCTCCTCAGGTTCGGCTTCAGAAGGTCAATGCGAGATCTGAGCTGTCTATTCATAAACAGCAGTGCAGGTGACTGATTAGTCGTTGCATGTGCAGAATTTCGGTACACCAGGAGGAAATTGTCAATTTTGTGTTGAATAGAGATGTCGTCTCTTGTCATTGCTTTCATGGCCTTTTTAAATGTTTGTACGAACCGTTCTGCTAACCCGTTTGTTGCAGGATGGTGAGGTGCTGACTTGAAATGTTTGATAC